ACAGGCACAGATGACATTCCCTCTTCTACGGAAACTATTAAAGGTGCTCCAGTCCGGTTCTCTTGCATCAAGACAACCTCAATGAGCAGAGATTTGATCCCAGGTTTACCCAGTCCCCAAATTCTAGCTACTACACCAGCTAGAGAAACACATCAGGTGGTATTCAACCAAGTCTTATGCAGGGCAGACCCACTGGAATTAATGCCCTTAAGTTAGCCATGCCTATTAATTTCAATGGGTCTACTCTGAATAGGACTTACACTGACTCCAACTCGTAATTTAAAATACTGACGTACTTAATTGCACCTGAAATTATATTAAAAGAAGATGCCTCTGAAACAATCTGAAGTTGGTCCTGAGTGTCACCATTTGCATTGGGAATTGATCGCTACTGGAAGAGTGATAGCTCTCGCTTGTGGTACAGTACATGTTCTTGAGACTCTGGAACTAGACAATCCTTTGCTGAACTCTTTCAAAAGTTAGTTCTTCATACAAGAGGATCCCTTTCCTCTTTTGCATCTGGTTACTCTACTCACTAATCCACTTGTGGTGGTATCAACATTATTAAAGCACCCCCACAACTGATGGACAATCAATATACAGGCACACACTCTGCTTAATAGAAATATCTGGAAATTGGGATAATTATTACCTCTCACTTGAAATTTGGGACAATCTGCCTCTGACCCATAACATAAACTGCAGTCTTATGCACACTTACCTGGGAGTAAGCCCGATTGAACTTAATGGGGCTTACTTCTGAGTAAACATGCCTAGGCATGTGTAGTAACTCTCCTGCATAAAGATGAACCCAAGCAGATGAAACAGACGGTTAGGTTGTGTGAGGATTCCACTATCACACCTTTTATCTAACCTTATTAAGAAAAGGTGGGGTTTATTATAGTGGCAGTCAGGAATGCGAGTCTGAAAATTGAACAACAAGCCACACACAGATGGGACTTTCCCCTTCATAAGCTTGAGCAACCCTCTGGTAGGGAACTGTGAAGTTTCCCCTTGCCAGCCAGGAACACATCCATGCTTGCAGAAGCAGAGTAGGAAGTTGCAAATGTATCTTTCCCCAGCTATCAAAGTTCTCCCATAAAACATTTTGATCGCTTTTGTCTCTTTAACAACCCAAATACAGAGAGGTCTTGAAAGATTAGCAGGAGGACCTCCTGGCAGTCATGCAGAAATAAAACCCACTGACTACTTCCCTAATGCTTTCATTACAAAACATGGACTTTTTGATAGCTTCTTTCACTTTAAATGAATCCAGGTGCATAACTAATATATTTCTCTGCCTCTGCATTTCCAACAGAAACACTATAGTTCCGACTGCCATGTGTCAGGAACCAGGTATGACCATCAGCATCTTGATACATTCCTAAACACCTGAAGGCAGGGACAGGGAACCTTTGGCTCTCTAGATCTTGTGGGACTACAACTCCCACAAGCCTTCATTGTAGGCCATGCTGCTGGGATTGATGGGAAATGTAGTTCAGCAACACCTGGAGGGCCAAAGGTTCCTCACACTCGTTCTAAAAGGGATTGTTGAGTCCATCAGAGAGAGGGAGGGAAGCAGCAGCAGCACTTGACATCCTTCTATCAGGTCTGGATACAGCTCTTGGTGACAGCCCCTGCCCTGAATGAGAAGCTAAACTGTTATGTATAATAATATCCATCTACCTATGAAATTAGTTCTTTTGGGGGAGGGCTTTACCCTGAAAGCCAACATGTAAGTATCGAGAATAAAGACATTTAATCTCACAGTTGTGGGTTTGAAGCCCACATTGGGTAAAGGATTCCTGCATTGCACTGCAGAGGGTTGGACTAGATGATCCTTGTGGTCCCTTCCAACTCTATAATTCTATGATTTTTGCATGGCAATTCTTATATAATGTATACTTGTGTCTGACTGCCATCTCTTCAAGGAGACAGAGACATGCTTTCAATGTGACACCTACTCTTTCCATATCTACTTGACCAGAGCGTCTACCATGCACCAGGAACTACCTTATTTTTCACTCTATAAGATGCACCAGACCATAAGACGCACCTAGTTTTTGGAGGAGGAAAACAAGAAAAAAAATATTCTGAATCCCAGAAGCCAGAACAGCAAGAGGGATCCCTCTTGCTGTTCTGGCTTCTGGGATAGCTGCGCAGCCTGCATTCGCTCCATAAGACGCACACACATCTCCCCTTACTTTTTAGGAGGGAAAAAGGGAGTCTTATAGAGTGAAAAATACGGTAGTTTCTCCATCCAGAGATGAAGACGCTTTGATCCTCCAGATGTTGTTCAACTATGCCTCTCATCATCCCTAACCATTGGCCATACTGGCTGAGGCTGATGGGAGCCGGAGTCCAGCAATATCTAGATGGCCATAGGTTAGTCACCTATGGAGAGCGGTGAGTGTGGTACCAAAAATATGTTTCAGATAGAACCCCTCTATTCATGGGTGATCCAAAAAAATTGCAGGAAGGCTAACATGAGATTACAAATCTGCCTTCCTGCATTACCATCAATCACTTAAAAACACTACACAAGAAGACTGAGAACTCTCACATATGCACACCAAGGAGAGGGAGAGAGAAGGGAAAGGGGGAGAGAGGTTTAGGCTTCCTGAGAATCAGGCCCATTGAACTCAGTGAGGCTTACTTTGGAGTAGACATGCTTGGCGTTGCACTCTCAGGCTGCAACAATTCTAAACTTACCTACTTGGGAGCAAGCCCTATCGAGCTCAACGAGGCTTTGAGTAAACATGTTTCAGATTGTGCTATCGAATCACTTTAAGTGGCATGTATGCAATCAGTTCTAGCCTCCTGAGACCTGATGGAAAAAGCAGAAAACATTGTTGGGTTCTGCCTTCCCCTTCCCTACAGGGTACGCACAGTATGGGGAGATCTAGGAGCATGCCTAGGATTGGATTACCTTTTCAGATCACAGCACAGGCAGGCACTGCAATTCTATGCACAGAGTTGCTGAACCTCATTCCCTCCCCAGTCTAAAAAAGCAGCCCTGCCAACGATGGTTGGTGGCAATCTGGTTGGTGTATTATGGGTTCATAATGTGAGCTCTAACAATTTATCTAAGGCCCGCCAGATGTTGTTGGCCTCCAACTCCTCTCAGCCCTAGCCAGCAAAGGTAGTGGACAGGAATGATGGGAGATGGAGTCCAAGAACATCTGGGTGGCCAGAGGTTCGTCACACCTGCTGTAAGGCCACATGTGTACGTGTATTAAGGCAAATGTCAGAAACTTGACATTGCTGATGTTGACTGGTAAACTGTTGCAAGACCCAGCTGGAAAGGCGTTCACACTTGTGGCATCTCTTCTCCCTGTATGCCAACCTTCTCCAATTTGGTACCCTCCAAATAGTCTGGACTACAGCTCCCCTGTATGCTCAATGGTCAGGGTTTATGGGCACAGTAGCCCAAACCACCTAGAGGGCACCAGGTTGAGGAAGGCAAATTAGGCAAATGACATTTGGTCATTTACAGAAGGCCATAGATGTAGCCAGGATTTTTGTTACGGGGGCAGGCCTTTTTTAAGGGGGGGGCACAACTGATGAGATTGGTCAGTTAAATATTTCTATTGTTCCACTTGATCTGGGGGGGCATTTGCCCCCCGCCCGCCCCTTGTCTATGCCCACAGAGAAAGCATTCACTTGGCTTCATCATTTACAGGTAAACATCTGATATTTCCCGCTGGGCCACTTCTAATCTGGAGACTGACCAGTAAATGTCGATATTCACCAACAGCCTACCAGATCCCCGACACTCATCTGTTCTGCTGTATTCAGATAGATTGTTAAGCACTTATATTAAGACACACCAGAACAATAGTCCTGTGTCACATTGTCTGTGATAAATGAAGTATAGCAGCCTTCAAGGAAGGGGGAAACCCCAGTTGACGATGCCAATTCATTTGGAAACAAAATCCCCCCTCTTTCGGGGGGGGAAACCTAAGGTGATAAAAGGAAAGGGTAATAAACGCAACACTTTTATGAGTGCTCTGAAAAATCTCAGAGTGGAACTGTTAGATCTTTTGCTTTCTCTCCCCCGCCCGCTGCTCTTTCATGTGTGTCTGGGCAGGTCTAACCCTCAGGTAACGCCCTTTCTCTCCTGCTTCTCGCTTACCTTTCCTTGCACCTGTCCACGTAATGCACTGCAAGCTCCCCAAGTCCAACCCTGCTTTCTCCTGCGCCTCTTGCCAATCTGGGCTTTTGCGCCTTCTCGATTTACTGCTGTGTGAAGAAAAGCCTGAACATCAAAAGCAGGCAGGGAACCGACGGCATCCTTCGCCCCACCGACAACAACCTGGTCTCTCTCTCTCTCTCTCTCTCTCTCTCTCTCTCTCTCTCTCTCTCTGTGTGTGTGTGTGTGTGTGGGGAGGGAGGGGCTGGTGCTGGTGGTGGCGGAGGAGAGGGGAAGGGAGGGGTGTTTCCTAGGCTGCTAACTTCGAAGGGGCGTGCGCCAAGGCGCGAGAGAATGGCTGGGGAACATTAGGAACTCCCCTCCGTCCCTGCAGAGCGAGGGTGGAGGCGGAGGGGAAAAAAGGTGTGAGAGGAGGGGCGGCAAGGAGAGAGAGAAAAAGCTCCGTCTAGGGTTTCAAACGCCGGGGCGCGCATCCGCATTAGCATATGTCAGGGGGGAAACCCGCCCGACGTGGCTATATATAGAGCGCGAGCTAGAGAGATTCCCCCACGCGCAATTTTGGAGAGGCCTCGCTTGCATCGAGCCAGAAGCGGCAGCAGCAGCACCAGCACCGGCTGTGGATGTTTATGCCAAGCTCAGCCCAGTCCCGCCAGCCCCATGCCTAGGGAGAGAGGAGAGCCTCCCCAGACAGGCAACTGCTATCTGGATGCGGAGTCCGGCCTCCGGGAGAAGCCCCAGCTGTGAGCCTTGAGACGTGACTCTCTGCATACATCTACCTGTCCATAATACATATATATATATATCCCCCCGCCGTCCTTCTCCATCCCTTCCTCGCCGGGACTCCTCCATGGCTCCCTTAGCCGACGTCGGGGGCTTCCTAGGCGGCCTGGAGGGCTTGGGCCAGCAGGTGGGCTCCCACTTCCTCCTGCCTCCGTCCGGGGAGAGGCCGCCTCTGCTGGGCGACCGCCTGGCGCAGGTGGAGAGGGGCTCCCGAGGGGGCGCGGCGGCGTCGGGGGCCACGGAGCTGGCGCACTTGCAAGGCATCCTGCGCCGGAGGCAGCTCTACTGCAGGACGGGCTTCCACCTGCAGATCCTGCCCGACGGCAGCGTGCAAGGCACTCGGCAAGACCACAGCCTCTTCGGTAAGGCTCCTCACTCTTTCCCCTTCCTTCCTTCCTTCCTTCCTCCCTTCCTTCTTTTCTTCCCTCTCTTTCCAAGCAGGCTTCGCTCCCTTCCGCGGCTTCTTCCCCCACCTTCTCCCCTTGCGACGGAAGCATCCTATAGCAACAGATGGTATAGCAACGGACCTCTGGCTTAAAGGCATAAACCGCTTTAAATCCGGGCTAGGACCGCGGCAAAGGGAGCCAGCTTAGCTCCAGGTGATGCTGGAGACAAGAGCTTGAGGGAATTAGGGGGGAAAGGGGCATCATTAGAATCGTAGAATTGGAAGGGATGCCGAGGATTATCTAGTCCAACCCCTTGCAATGCAGGAATCTTTTGCCCCAACCCGTGGCCCTGAAATTAAGAGTCTCATACTCCAGCATCTGTTTGCAAGGCTTTGTTTGGAGCAACAACCTTTTTTGGGGGAAAAAGAAGGGCCTTGTAGGCATGAAGTAACAATAGATTTCCTTGAGCATGTGCAGAGTGCCATTCCGGCACCACTGACAGTTGCATCCCATACTGTGCAGCAGATAAACGTTGTGGGTGGAATCCTTGCAAGAAATAGCGTTGCACCTGAAAACTGCAATGGGCCACAGTTTCCATGTCAATAGTTATTCTCATGGTGGTTGCATGCTATTTTGGACACAGGTGTGCTTTCCTGCAGGAAGTAGGTAATTAGTTGGTGTGGATGAGAAGAGAGGGCTTCCAGGTCAGAGCGTGCTGCCCTAGAGAGCCTCAGGACCTCTCCCTTTAGAAAGGAAACGCCATATGTATTTGCTCAGTCATCTGCACCGCTTGTATGTAGGCAGCATGTGTGTGTGCATATGCGGAAATACAGAGACATATCACAGCGGCATACCTGGACACACTGCTCTGGCTGAGGGGAGGAAGAGGGCGTGTCAATTCCACCCTTTCACTCTGATCTTTGCCAGCGCTTTGATTTTTCTTCTAACAAATGAATGTAGGTCTTGCCTTCCTTAATTGTTTGCAATGCAGCCCTGCCCTTTGCTACCTGTGTATTAAGCCCCATGCGTTCCAGTGGGAGTTAGGCATACGCAAATGTGTGCAAGACTGCACTTTAACAAGACGCTGCTGTGCAAAGTGGAACTGAACTGTGCTGGTCCTGCATAAACAACAGCAGCTAATGTTGTTTCATGTCTATTTAGCTCTGCTGTGCCAGGCACTGTATCCAACAGAACAGGCCGCCTGCCTGCCTTAAGAGCAGTGAGGAGACTGTGAGTCTATGGCTGTATTCCTGCGAAGATAGTTTGATTCTCTTCCCAACAGCCCTATAGATTTTTTACTATGCCCATTTCGTAGATTGGAAAAAGAAGGCAGGGTGACTAGAGGAAGGCCAACCATTGAGTTTATGGCATAGCAGGTGTCTCCCAGGTCCACACATGACCTGGCACACTAGCCAGTAGTCTGATAACTTGCTACATCTCTGACCTGTATTAGTAGTAGTCGTAATAATAATAATTTATTATTTATACCCCGCCCATCTGGTTGGGTTTCCCCAGCCACTCTGGGCGGCTTCCAACAAAACATTAAAAATACATTAAAACATCAGTCATTAAAAACTTCCCTAGTTTGAAGGTTTGAAGGGCTGCCTTCAGATGTCTTCTAAATGTGAGGTAGTTGTTTATTTCTTTGACATCTGATGGGAGGGCGTTCCACAGGTTGGGCGCGACTACCGAGAAGGCCCTTGCTCTGTTTAGGATTCAAGTTTCCTCCTCCTCCTTCTCTGGCGATCACTCGGAGCCGAGTAAGATTGTCTTCCATGAACACGGTCTTAGCAGTGTGTCCATAGGTAACTGTGGAGGCCAGTTCTGGATCTGTGCATCCTTCCACATGGTGAGGGTTTGCCAAATGTGCCTTCCTCTTAGCTCGTTTCTCCCTTTTGCGCTGAGTTCGAGTGTCTTCAAAGTCCATGACACCTTTGGTAAAGGCTGTTCTCCAATTGGAGTGCTTGCAGGCCAGTGTTTCCCAATTATCTGTGTTCATACTACTTTTTTTATAGATTTGCCTTGAGAGAGTCTTTAAACCTCTTTTGTTGACCGCCAGCATTATGCTTTCCATTTTTAAGTTGGGAATAGTGTAGCTGCTTTGGAAGTCGATAATCAGGCATCCAAACAACATGACCAGCCCAACGAAGTAGATGTTGAAGAATCATTGCTTTGACACTGTGCCTTAATGACAACAGGAGACTTAATGCAAGATTGGGAAAGGTTGCTTAATTTGTAAGAGCAAACAAAAAGGGGCAGATTGTAGGAAGCACAGCCTTATCTGAGGAAACCTGCTACTGTTGGCAACCATGGAGGGGTTTGAACAGACACAAAAGGCCAATGGAGAGGTTTTCTATCAGGTTTCCCATAGTCAAAACAACCCATTGCAAAAGGTTCTTAACTGATTTTGCAACACACACTGGAAACATCAAGGTTTCCAGACTGAACAGAACGTCAGTTCAGCAGAGTTCTGCACAGAAGGGAAATTTCTTACAGCATGTAAACACAGAATAATTACCTCCAAAGAGAGAGAGAGAGAGTTTGAGATCGAGATCAAACATTCTTGGTGCTTCTTTATTCTATCGCCATTCTCAATAGGTTTGTCTGATGTGGTGTCTTTGTGGATTGAATCACCTGCTTATTATGAATTGGAGCGGGGGAGGGGAGTTTTTCTTTGAAAATGATATCAGAAAGGCAGAATACCTCCCATGTCTTTCAATGGAACTTTGAATATTGGGAACTCCGAAATCTCTGATGATTTATTTGCAGTCGGAAGATTTAATATCTGATCTTTGTAGAAGATTTGGCTGGGCTGCCACTCAGCATTACACAAACCAAGACCCTGGCAACTTTCAATTAAAACTCCCAAGGCTGCAAATGATAGAACATTCATTATCTTGCTTTGAGAGTTCGGAAAATAAAACAGCATTGATAAATACAGAAGAAAGATTCAAAGCTATGCCTAAAATCAGATGGCAATATTTCAAAGGGGGGGGGGGAAGCCATGGTTTTTAAAAGCATTTATCAAAAACTTCCTTTCCAACAATCCAAATATTTGATTACTGTTATTATTTAACAGAGAATGGGATAGCCTAGCCAAAGTTGCACTTATAAGTTCCACTGATTTCAGCTGCAGAGACTTGGGCACATGCTTAACACTCTTGTTGAAATCAATGAAGTGTCAAAGGGCTTAGTTTAGGCCGGATCGTGCCTAGTCTTTGAACCATTATAACTCAGGGATACACCTTTTGAGGGTGTTCTGTGCTATAACAAAATATTACAGTTAGATTTTGCATAGCTAAGTCTCTGTCTGCCTTTGGCAATATTTTATAACTGTGTCTTCACCGCAATGTGCATGGAAGTTGAAAACAAACGTTTGTTTTTCTCAATGCAGGTATCCTTGAATTCATCAGTGTGGCCGTGGGATTAGTCAGTATTCGAGGGGTGGACAGCGGCCTTTACCTTGGAATGAATGAAAAAGGAGAACTTTATGGCTCTGTAAGTATTACCATTGTATCACTCAGCTTGTGCTATAAGCTCAGATTTCCTGTCGACTTGATCTGTTATAGCCACTGGCAATTTTGCTGCTGGTGTCAGAGAAAGTTGGATCATACCCATTTATTATTATCTTTTCCTATCACCTAGTGCCGGACCATTCTGCATGCAAAGATATGCTCTGTCTCTGAGCTATGCCCCTTCCCCAGATGTCAGGCCAGCTTCCCTGGCTGCTACCAGCAGAGTTAAAGGAGTCATTGGGTGCACTTTTCATTCATATGCAGTGGCAATCTGGTTCCAGCCAGCCTGGCCCAGGTGCTCATGTGAATGACATTTAGTTCTGAGGGAAGAAAGAAGTCCAATTTGCAAGGAGTGAGGGGACAAGGGAGTCTTAGTATTGTTAATCTACAACAGCCTTAGCCAACCCAGGTGCCTTCCAAAGGTTTTGGACTTACAACACCTACTAGCTGCAGCCAGGGCTGATGGGAGTTGTAGTCCGAAAGGGCAACTAGGTTGGCAAAACTGGTCTAGGAGTCCAGACAGTTTTGTAAAGGGGTTCAGTAGCTAATATTTTCCTTCAAATTTCAATCTTGCGAAGCAAGTCATGCTCCGAGTTCACTCTCTGTTCACCAAAATAAAGAGAGAGAGAGAATGAAGGAGTTGTACACATAAATACCAGAGCATAGACTGCCGGCAGTGAAATTTGCTGCTCCATTGTGATTCAGCCGGTGGAACTCTGGGGTGTTCTTTCTTTCTTTCTTTCTTTCTTTCTTTCTTTCTTTCTTTCTTTCTTTCCTTGTTAATAAAATAATCATCTTATATTCAGGCCAATTAAGTACAGTGGTACCTCGGGTTACAGACACCATGGGTTACAAACACTTCGGGTTACAAACTCCGCTAACCCGGAAGTAGTACCTCGGGTTAAGAACTTTACCTCAGGATGAGAACAGAAATCACGTGGCGGCAGTGGGAGGCCCCATTAGCTAAAGTGGTACCTCAGATTAAGAACGGTTTCAGGTTAAGAATGGACATCTGAATGAATTAAGTTAATAATCAAAGGTATCACTGTATATCCCCAATTCTTCCCTTTGACTCTTTTATTAAAGCAATGGATCTATCGCTTCTCTTCTGGAAGCATAGGGGTTATACTGTATTGGCCCAAATATAAGCCTCACCTGCAAATAAGCCACACCTTTAAAATTCAAGGGGGGAAAAGAAAACAAGACAATATCCTAATATTAGTAGCTCCCTTAAAATTCCACAGGCACTCACACCCATTCCGTTTTACCCTAAGTCTGTTTCAGCAGCGACATCATAAAAGCCAAATTTTGTAAGGTCGTGAATTTAAGCCATGCTTTAACTTTTCACGGTCAGAATTTGGAAAAAAAGTGTGGCTTATATTCAGGCCAATATAGTAATCCGAGGTGAGGAGGGTTAGGGGTATTGCTAGATCCTTAAAATGGCACAAATAGGCCCATGGTACAAATCTGCATAAAAATGTACCTGCTGATTTATATGTATCGATGCACATTTAGACTGACTTTTAGAGGGAAAGCTGCCTTGTAAGCAAAATTCATTTTTAAAAGCTTTTATTCCAAAAACAATTTTTTGGGGGGTGGCCTAAGAACAGTCGTTGCCTAAAGGATTAGTTAGCGCTTATCTGGGCAAGTTAAAGGAAAGCTGCTTTTGAGAGATGCCACCTTTGAGGCATTTACTTAATCAGATTTCTCACCTCTGTGTTTATTCCTAAAATTTCCACAGGAGAAGCTGACTCCTGAATGTGTCTTCAGAGAACAGTTTGAAGAGAACTGGTACAACACATACTCCTCCAATGTGTACAAGCATGGGGACTCTGGCCGGCGGTACTTTGTGGCGCTAAACAAAGACGGCAGTCCCCGAGACGGGGCGAGGTCCAAAAGACACCAGAAATTCACCCATTTCTTGCCCAGGCCAGTGGATCCAGAACGAGTACCAGAGCTCTACAAGGATGTCTTAGTATTCAGCTGAAGTTGGAACACTGGAGGAGAATGGAGTCTCTTAGCCTCAATGGTAACAAAAGCACGAAGAACTTCCGAATGCTGTGGAGTTCTGAGATATCTAGGGTGCCGGTTGTCAGAGAAGCTGTTAGTGGTAGACAAGCCCTTCATTGCCCAACGTCTGGATTTAGGAGAGTGGGCCTTGAGGTCAAGTGGGTCAACCTCTTTTTGGTTTGCTCACTCGTGCGCCGGTCAAGTAGACAAGGAGAAGTTGGAACTGGACTTCAAACCAGACTGTTCTGGATTGCTTTCTCCCTTCACCTAGAACACAAATAGCTACCTAAAGCATGTGGAGGCAGATTGTAGGAAAATGGAAGAAATGGCAGGAAAAGAATGAATGGCAAGCTGTGTGGATTGGGAGTGTCAATCTATGGGGACAGCGCTAACTCGGGAAGTGAAATCTGGATTTGTTTTTCCCTTCAGGATGGACCTAATTTATACACTTTCAGAGTGCATATATTTATTTTAAATATTTATTTATTACAGAGTTTATTTTTTACTGGGCTATGAAGAGAGTACAACCCTTTACCCCAATGAAAAATCAATTATGGTGCCAATATTTACTCCAAGGTAGTGTCAAGAAAAGGGGTGTTGTATCCCCCAAAGAGTTCAAATGGAGCAACATCTCTGGAAATATCATTGTTGGGAAATAATAAACTGGGGTTATATTTCTATGCACGCTCCGTTGCCTTACATAGGAAAAGTTGTTGGCTGCCTTGTGACTGCCCCCTATATTTGTACTGGATTTTTAAAAAATGCACATTTAAAAGGGAATTAAAGATAAACTTCCATCTGTTTGTTTCCCTGTTGTTACTTAATGGAATTGTCAATCAGTGGTAGCAGAGGCAAGGGTAGTCCTCACCCACTTCTATGTCTCAGATTGCACATGGTTATTATACAGAGGCATCTATGTTTTCAACTCTCTGGTTCTTCATGATGACTCTGGTCCTTGATAGTAACTGTTATGTCATGAGACGGGGCGTCTGGTGTCCTCCAGAAGTTGTTAGACTCCAACTTCCATCAGCCCCACCAGCATTGTCTACACCCTCCACTGTGGTTAGGATGGCTTTGAAAGCTCTTGTCATGGAGGGTTCTGAGACAGGAAACAGGTAAAACTTGAGTTACCTGCACTTCCTGTTTCCTCCTGGTCCACTTTAATGCCTGAAGTTGCTCGAAGGCTCACAGATATCAAAATACAGTGTTCCGTACCATTATACATGCTTAAAGAATGGCTATAGATTTGGAACCGAGAGCCTGAAAATGCCACACTTTTCAGGATCCTAAGTAAGTCTCATGCTGGAATTTAAGTGGCATTGTCAATAATACTCGGACTCTGGAAGGCATCATGTGCCCTTCCCTCACTTTAGGCACAACCCATGAAAGGAACCATGGAAGTAGTGCTAGAGAATTACAGCCGCTCAGTTGCTTCCTTTCAAAGGTTTTGCGTGGCAGAATTGGTACACTCCATGCCATTCCCAGTTGCTTTGACATCAGAGGCTTCAGAGACTTCAGCCTGGAAGAGTTTCTGACATACGGTTTGCAAGTGAAGTTCAGAAAAGGCAGTACAGTAGATGGCATTTCACTGTTCACCACAGACATACATTCCATCTAGACATGCTCTTTAATTTCATGTGAACAAGTGAGTTTATTCCTTCTGCACTCCAGTTTCCCTATGTACAAATGCTCGCATGGATGGCTTGAATTACAGGAGCAACATGCTGGAGTTTCTGGAAAGAAGCATGAACAGGCCATTGCGTGCTTGCAGTGCACGTACAAATTACACATACAAAGGGGAAATGGTGGATAATATTACACTGAAGCTAGACACCAAAATGCTCCACGACTTCTGAAAAAAATATGAACCAAAGTAGAGACATTTTATCCAAAGCAGTTTGGTGCCTGATAAAGACTTGGCAGTCTTCAGGCTACTATGGTTGATACATTAGCTATATGAGTAAATAGAATGCAACACTATTTCCAGTATTACTATACTGTAAAGCTTCAGTAGATGGATCGAGGACAAAGATTTTAAAGAGAGAATTGCAATCATCACATAAAATCCTGGTTAGCTGAAGCCATATGTTGGTTCTTTGGCTTTTAAGGACATGAACGATTCTTGACCTGTGCTTTTGGGGTAAACTTTAGATAAATTGTAAAAGTGGCAGGGTCCTGCACAAAGATAAAAATCCCCCCAAATGGCTGTGTGCCTATCGTATATTACTTGTGTGAGGTCCTGTTGAAATCACTTTGGGTATAATCTAGTGATATGCAACTCTCTACCTAAACTTTATTGAAATCAGTGAGAGCACACGGGGAAAACTTCAGTCTCCTGTATATCAATAGAAGAAGAAGAAGAAGAGTTTGGATTTGATATCCCGCTTTATCACTACCCGAAGGAGTCTCAAAGCGGTTAACATTCTCCTCTCCCTTCCTTCCCCACAGCAAACACTCTGTGAGATGAGTGAGGCTGAGAGACTTCAAAGAAGTGTGACTGGCCCAAGGTCACCCAGCAGCTGCATGTGGAGGAGCGGAGACGTGAACCCGGTTCCCCAGATTACGAGTCTACTGCTCTTAATCACTACACCACACTGGCTCTCTCAATAGGATTTAGGCATGCCTGAGCATAGGTCCACATTCACACAAGGCCCTTTTCTATGTTGCAAGCACTCCAACTTCTTCCTGCATTGTGCTCATGGGGAAAAATGTAACCTGCGAACTGGTGAATAACAGCTATAGCCAGCAGCATTTCCCATGATGGAGGTAGCGTTCCCCCCTAGAAATAATGTTCATAGCAATTCCTGATGTCTGTCATCTGCAATCCACAGTTGACTCATTGCATAGCTCCCCTGTAGTGGCATATACCTTGGGAAGGTTGAAACAAACAAACAAAAAAAGTATTGTGTGAATGGACCGTGCCTTTCTCCAAGTTATGCACGGTCATAGAATTGTAGACTTGGAAGCAACCCTGGGACCATCTTCTCCAACCCCCTGCAATGCAGGAATCTCAACTAAAAGCTCTATGACAGATGGCTATCCAACCTCTGCTTAAAGGTAAAGGTAGGTCCAACCGTTGACGACTTTGGGGTTGCAGCGCTCATCTCGCTTTATTGGCCAAGGGAGCCGGCGTACAGCTTCCGGGTCATGTGGCCAGCATGACTAAGCCGCTTCTGGCGAACCAGAGCAGCACATGGAAACGCCGTTTACCTTCCTGCCAGAGCGGTACCTAATTATCTACTTGCACTTTGATGTGCTTTCGAACTGCTAGGTGGGCAGGAGCAGGGACCGAGCAACGGGAGCTCACCCCGTCACGGGGGTTCGAACCACCGTCCTTCTGATCAGCAAGCCCTAGGCTCTGCGGTTTAGACCACAGCGCCACCCGCGCCCCAACCTCTGCTTTAAAAACCTCCAATGAAACAGAGTCCACCACCTTCCGAGGGAGTCCGTCAGAAAGCTCTTACTGTCAGAAATTTCTTCCTGATGTTTAGTCGGAATCTCCTTTCTTGAAACTTGAATCCATTGGTACGGGTCCTCCTCTCCAATCAGTGTGGAAGAAACTCACTTAAAATGGTTCTGAATATTTAGAAAAGAAAAAATATTTAGAAAAGCCGGAAGATGAAGCTGTGGTTAGGGATGCAGTTTGGAAATCTGGACTCATGGGCACACTCTGTCTTTAGAGGGCAATGTGTATTACAGTGGTACCTCGGTTTAAGTACTTAATTCATTCCAGAGGTCCGTTCTTAACCTGAAACTGTTCTTAACCTGAAGCACCACTTTAGCTAATGGGGCCTCCCGCTGCTGTCACGCCACTGGAGCACGATTTCTGTTCTCATCCTGAAGCAAAGTTATTAACCCAAGGTACTATTTCTGGGTTAGCGGACTCTGTAACCTGAAGCGTATGTAACCCGAGGTATCACTGTATATTACTTCAGGTCCCCCACTTCAATGTGGCAAGCCAGCCCCCTTGCATTTGGCCTCTCTTCTGCTTATTCTGCCCTAGACATCTGCTCCAAAGTCCTGCACTGATGGTGCCACTGGCTGCGCTAACGTCTGTGAATGATGGGCTTCTAAGGAGCTCAGTCATGTTTTCACATAGGCCCCACACTTTTGAGAGAAATCAGGGTGTCATGTGTGGCGTACAGTGTCATCCATAACGTGAGCATGCTCAACACTGGCCTTCTTTATACTGGAGCCAGACAGTGTCATTTGCTTGTCTGACAAAGACTGGGTGCTGGAGGCAGGCCAGTTGGCTTTATCTCAGCACAGATGAGTTAGAGGTGATGCTTAATGGGCAGCAGGGAAGCAGTCAGGAGAGCCTGCCAAGCCTCAGACGGCATGCTAAGTTGGCAACAACATGTCCGTAAGTCAGCACTATCGGAGATAGGAACATCAGCCAAAGTCTCTTTTCTTCATTTAGCCAGAAGTTGTTAGATGTGCAGCCTGCTCCCACTCATGCTTATGTAAAGCTAAGAGCTGTTCTACACATTATGCCAAATGAGGACGGGAGCTAGACTGTGATGATACAACTCTGAATTTTGTGCCACTTCAGGAGTACACACCGTACCTTAAAAGCACATTTGAAACACGTGCTTTCCCTCAAACAATTATGGGCCCTGCAATCTACCCCTCAGAGTTACAATTCCCAGAAACCCTTAACAAACTACGGGACCCATAAATCAAATGTGCTTTAAATTTAGAGAGTCTACACAGACTGAAGGTGGGGTGTGTGCATTTTCTTTTCATTAATACTCTCCCATGTAATATACCAGCAAACAGTGGCCAGGGAGACATTGCAGGTGGGGCTCTGTCGCTTCCCCAGCTCCCCATTGTTGCTGCTGCTTACAGTAAAGGAGGTATGGAGGTTGAGGTTTGGGAAATGTGGGGTGGCAGGAGCATTGGATTGGGTCATATGAGACCCACCCCCTGCCCCTCATGCTCTTGGTAAGCGACACAATGCATATGAACCCACTTTAT